CACTAGAAGAGCTCCTGCGTCATTACACTCGACCTCAAGTGCGCCGTTGTCTTTCATCCTCAAGCGTCCCGCTAGGACAGGATACAGAGTGAGTGTCTCCGATAGGGATGTTGCTAGACGATCTACATCTACCATCTTCGCTGCATCTGGCCCAGGGTAATAGTAACCCGTCATCATAATAATACGTAGCATTACCTGGTCCACGTTAGATAGCCATTGCACGTGGGGATCCGTTGGTATGGAGGGGACAATCACCCGCTCCTCCAACTCCTGCATCTCCATTTCCTCTCTACTCCCACCCTGGCTGATTGAGAAACAGATAGACCGGAGAACGTCCCTGGCTGATGGAGAGGCAACTAGAACGGAGAGCGTAAGCCGGACGGAGGCACAAGCTCTACTAGAGATTGTCTGTGTACATATGTGTGTGTGTGTGTGTGTGTGTGTGTGTGTGTGTGTGTGTGTGTGTGTGAGAGAGCGAGAGAGAGAGAGAGAGAGAGAGAGAGAGAGAGAGAGAGAGAGAGAGAGAGAGAGAGCAGCAGCGTCGTTGATTTTTGCAGCCGCAGCAGCGCAGCCGTCGATTGTTCGCTGGGGATGCATGGAGAATGTGGGTGGTTCTGCCCAATCATGTCCTGATATATATTGCATCCGAAGTTTTGTTTACCCTCTCTTGATCTTTCTCTGTTGTTTCGCTCTCCAATCTACGTCATCCCACTTTTCCCATCTATGTCGTCGTGTTCCTGCCCCAGTTGTAAATTGTAATTGTCTGCTGTCGTGTTTTTCGAGCGTGACCGAGCATGGCTGATTGGCATGGCTGATTGGCATGGCTAATTGGCATGGCTAATTGGCATGGCTAATTGGCATGGCTGATTGGGGTGATTGATTGGCAAGAAAAGCATGTATAGAATTATGGATCTTTTTCATCTCAAGTGTGATGATACGGTTTGGAAGTCTGGGGTAATCTTTTTGCTCTTCTGGGTAAGATCAAGTGTAGTATCTGTTCTGATCAGTTTAATATCTGATCCGTGGTCCATCGGACCACCAAAAAAAAAAAAAACTTCGTTGAGGCAGTCGCTGCTTCTCATCCCGTGGGATCTCCTTGCGCGGCTCCATTCTCCTCCGGTCTTTTGATTTGCCTACCATCTGATGAGCGACTCTAGCTCTCTCTCTCTCTCTCTCTCTCTCTCTCTCTCTCTCTCCCTTCCGCCCACTAGTTCCTCTCTGTGGTCGTCTCCTTCGTGCGAACTCAGGCTGGGTAGACCTTAAGGCCTGCGGTTTTTAAAGATAGAAAGACTTGTTGTAGTCTTGGGAGCATAGGACGGCGAGACGCGAACCACAGGTTCGAATTAGAGGAGGAGGAGGAGGAGGAGAAGGAGGAGGAGGAGGAGGAGGAGGAGGAGGAGGAGGAGGAAGAGGCGACGGCGGATCGGAATCCTCAGAAGAGGAAGAGGAGGAAGAAGAGGAGGATGAGTAGGATGAGGATCAGGAAACCGAGTGGGGAACAGAAAAGGAGGAGAAAGAGCAGGAAGAAGAAGAAGAAGAAGAAGAAGAAGAAGAAGAAGAAGAAGAAGAAGAAGAAGAAGAAGAGGAGGTTGAAGAACCATAGCGACGAGTGCTTGCCGTATTTGTATATCTGCGATTACGTTCCACCTGGGGAGGAGGAGCAGGCAGTAGGTACACGCCGCGTGTGCTCGAACCTCGATTTTGCCGATGTCCACTTCAATGAGAGCGATGATGGCGACATGATGATTTGGGCGCAGGGGACGGATCCACGATTTGCACTCGCACTTGCAGTCGCTTCTTGTGGCAAAGTTGGTGGTTTGGTGGAGGAGGAGGAGGAGGAGGATTGGAAGCGTAGGCAATCGGCAGTGAGCGAAGTATGAACTTCGGCAAAGGAGTAGTAGTAGTAGTAGTAGTAGTAGTAGTAGGAGGAGGAGGAGGAGCAGGAGGAGGAGGACGAGGAGGATTTAGGCAAGCACCATTCAGCAGGATTCGAGAAATGGAAGCAGCAATGATTGGGTAGTCGTTGTCGCCGTTGCAGTAATTGTAGTGAGAGAAGGAAGAACTTCATCAATCATCCCTCGGCGAAGGAGGAGGAGGAGGAGCAGGAGGAGGAGGAGGAGGAGCAGGAGGAGGAGGATGGAGTCCAGCATAGCGATTCACGTGGAATTGGCAGGTTGGGACCGCGCCGCACCGCCCACCTAATGTTAAAAAGACAAAACAAATGGCAAGTGCATCTTTCCACCTTCTAGCAGCAGATGCATTCTCTCTTATTTACGCATCTGGTGAGTAGTGCGGCTAGCTAGGCCCGTTGTGGTGTAGCGTCATATTTTTATGGTCCATATTTTTTTTCCCCTTTGTATTGTATTTTGATTGCTCTCTTGTTTTCGTTCTTTCGCCGGTCGCGTTGCTGCGTACTTTTTTCTGCTGTCCCATTTCTTGATCGTACGTTTCTGACCGCCATTTCGCCGAGGTGTGAGCTTGTATCTGACCAACCGTTTCAGCCAGATTCAGGCGGAAAAAATGTAGGTGTGTGAGCATGTCATTGGTTTTTTTGCCAGCGTATCGACACAGAGTTTTCATGTATCTGACCAACCGTTTCAGCCAGATTCAGGCGGGAAAATGCAGGTGTCAGTGTGCCATTCATTGCCTTTCTCTCAGCGAGGCACGAGTACTGGTATAATGAGGTGGTCATTGCAAGATTAAGAGGGGATCTCTCTATTCAGACATACATTCCTGGGATGAATGTGGTCGTAATTGCGGTCAAATTCATCTACGAAAAGTCCCAAGTTTGAGTATTCCTTGTGGGTTATTCATGTGAGCGCGTGCTGAGAGACAACGAGAAGGTTCGGCTATGGCTGTCCGAGGTGCTGGTAATCAAG